TTATAAGGGATTTTTCGGAAAAGGCTTTATTTTCCGAAAGATCCCCGTCTAGACTGGTGCTTTTTTCCGGCAAAGCCCCGAGCCAGAAAAAAGCGGCAGTCATGTTCGTGCAAATGCCGCGGGGGATATTTAAATCCCCGCGGCATTTGCTATTCCGACTGGTCTCATTAGCATCCCTTTTCCGGAAAGGGGTGCCAATGTAGACACAGCCTAAATTCCAGTGTGGAAAGGGTTGAGATCACAGAAGCAAAGTGAGGGGATAGAGGGAAAGGTTACAGCTATCATTTCCCACTTCTTCCAATCACTATTTTAAAGAAGCAACAATATTCACACTAAATCAAACTAACCAAAAACTGAAAACTTGATGATAGAAGCTAATTATTTTATTATAATTAGTATGAAACATTTAAATGGCAGCATGTAAGTATATTACGTATACAATAATAGGATCCCATGCCTCCGCTCATGTGCTACAAATGTACAAGTTACAGACGTCTCCTTAGGGATAGGACTGTATGTAAACTACATTAGGAATCTGAACAAGCACATTGGCTTGTTTGAGATTTGCTCTAAATTTCTCATCTCACATCCCCTGAGGTGTGAGTGTGTTAACAAGATTTTTTGCATGAATACAAGGAGCACAGTTATCACTGCTGAGACATAGGTGCTTTTTAAATAAAACATTTTTAATTTGAAATCTGGGAATCATCTTGTTTAGCTAATAAAGGAATCCTACTGAGTGAATCAAGGCATCCAGTAAAAACATATATTCCTATGACTCTCTCTCTGTCTCTAAAGAACCCCTCATGTTTTATGCAGATTCTCTGAGACACTCACTCAGAGGATGGATAGAAAACTTCAGAAAGGAACATATGCCAGCATCTGTGACAACTTCATGCCCTATTGTGTTTCAAAGGGTTTCACATAGCTTTAGGGGTCCCTATGGCATTCACACTTAGGTCAGAACCAAAGGCAATGGAAATATATTACAATCTCTGAATGCTTCAGGAAGGGTATAACGTGACCACAAAAGGGGCCAGAAAGGATTTTGCTGTCTCATCTATGAGCAGCACAGCCACAGCTAATGCTATAACAAGAGGCAGAGTGAGAGGAAACCTCTGAGGTTCTCGAGCAGAATTTCTCTCAAGTCATTGAGTCAGAATAGACCATGGAACATCCACCAACGGTGGTAGATCCCCAGAGATCTGTGTAAAATCAAGTGAGCCATCCCTGAGAGGCCCAGTGCACCTGACTTTACTCCATGTACCCACGTAGCGTGGTTCAGAGTAATCCAACAAGTGTCCCAATATACCACAGAAAAGGGCATACAGCTCTAAACTGCACTCCCTTTCCTGTCTAATCCCTGTGGGGCTGGAAGGAAGAGGATATAGAATCATAGAATATTAGGACTGGAAGGGACCTCGAGGGGTCATCAAGTCCAGTCCCCTGCCCTCATGGCAGGAACAAATACTGTCTAGACCATCCCTGGTAGACATTTATTTAACCTACTCTTAAATATCTCCAGAGATGGGGATTCCACAACCTCCCTGGGCAATTTATTCCAGTGTTTGACTACCCTGACAGTTAGGAACTTTTTCCTAATGTCCAACCTAAACCTCCTTTGCTGCAGTTTAAGCTCATTGCTTCTTGTTCTATCCTCAGAGGCCAATATGAACAAGTTTTCTCCCTCCTCCTTATGACACCCTTTTAGATACCTGAAAACTGCTATCATGTCCCCCCTCAATCTTCTCTTTTCTAAACTAAACAAACCCAATTCCTTCAGCCTTCCCTCATAGGTCATGTTCTCTAGACCTTTAATCATTCTCGTTGCTCTTCTCTGGACCCTCTCCAATTTTTCCACGTCTTTCTTGAAATGCGGTGCCCAGAACTGGACACAATACTCCAATTGAGGCCTAACCAGCGCAGAGTAGAGCGGAAGAATGACTTCTCGTGTCTTGCTCACAATACACCTGTTAATACATCCCAGAATCATGTTTGCTTTCTTTGCCACAGCATCACACTGCTGACTCATTTAACTTGTGGTCCACTATAACCTCTAGATCCCTTTCTGCCATACTCCCTCCCAGACTGTCGCTTCCCATTCTGTATGTGTGAAACTGATTGTTCCTTCCTAAGTAGAGTACTTCGCATTTGTCTTTATTAAACTTCATCCTATTTATCTCAGACCATTTCCCCAATTTGTCCAGGTCATTTTGAATTATGACCCTATCCTCCATATTAGTTACAACCCCTCCCAGCTTGGTATCATCTGCAAATTTGATAAGCGTACTTTCTATACCAATATCTGAATCGTTGATGAAGATATTGAACAGAGCCGTCCCAAAACAGACCCCTGCGGAACCCCACTTGTTATGCTTTTCCAGCAGGATAGTGAACCATTAATAAATACTCTCTGAGTACGGTTATCCAGCCAGTTATGCACCCACCTTATAATAGCCCCATCTAAGTTGTATTTCCCTAGTTTATTGATAAGAATATCATGCGAGACCGTATCAAACGCCTTACTAAAGTCTAGGTATACCACATCCACCGCTTCTCCCTTATCCACAAGACTCGTTATCCTATTAATGAAAGCTATCAGATTAGTTTGACATGATTTGTTCTTTACAAATCCATGCTGGCTGTTCCCTACCACCTTGCCACTTTCCAAGTGTTTACAGATGATTTCCTTAATTACTTGCTCCATATATCTTCTCATATATGTCCCTCTGCTGCTATACCACAAGCCACCATCTCCATCCTCACTCATTAACCCTGACCCCTTCTCCCTGTGAGGAAATCTGTACCACCAAGCAAACTTAGTGGGTCCCAGTAAGGAGGATTGTGCTCCACAGGTGGCTAATCCTCCCTCCCCTTTGCCATTTCCATGCAGATTAGGTGAGATGTTTAAATGGAAAATCCCCTCTGTGCATGAATCTGGGGACTGCTGAGGACCATCTTGCGCTTACACCAGGTTAATGGAAATTAAAATCTGGCCCTTCCTCTGTTAAATAAAAAGTGACAGTACCCCCGAAAAATCTTGGATGCCCCACATCTTGAACTCACACAAAGAAAATGCAGCAAAAATGTCAGAGCATCCACACTAGAACCAGTGACATTTTCCATTTACACATACTTCAGAGATGGCAGATGAAGTGGCTAGTTAACTCAGAACTTTTATTATTATTATTTTAATCTAGTCTAGCTATTAAAACACCTAATTTTGAAAACTTTACTCAGCTTTTCTGAATCCTGACTCAGACAGATCTCCCCATTGGCTATAACAAGAAAGGATGTAGTAAAAAGCGCGACAGGACTCGAGGATTGACTCCAAGCTGTTCACATACTCTAGGACCTGATTCTCAGGCACACTAAAGCTACTTCACATTGCTCTAGCATAGTAAAAGGGCCTTAAAGAGCCCTTTCTGTGGCCAAAATGACACAAAACAGCCTCAGTATCAAGACCTTTAGCTTTCTATGAAAGAGCAGATTGTTGATACCTCTTCTCCACTGGTATTTTTTTCAATGGATTTTATACAATATGCTAACTCTATCCAGCTGCGTAAAACATGCACCACTCACCGTGCAAGAGCTGGACTACATTGGCTAAAGATGCCTGCGGCCTGCCTTAGCAAGCTACTGTTTAATGTAAAAGATAATGAGCCAGAGCCTCACTTGGTGTATGGTCAACCTAACTCCATGAAAGCGAGTGATTTACATCACCTGTGGATCTGGTCCCATAACTGTACAGCCAACGGTGTTTGTTCATTCATTTAACAAATGTAAGGTTTTAGTTATTTACGTTTAGGTAGAGCAATCTGTTTGGGACAAAGCTGCCCTGTATTTAAGTAATAATGGTAGTGTTAGGGCTGAGTCATGGGTGGCTATGGGCCCAGAATGAGCAGCTCCTATTGGGTCAAAGGTCAGAGGTCAAAGCAGCACTAGGACAGGTCAAAACCACACAATCAGAGTCCATTACAAAATTGGGAGCATGAACTGGGGTTTAAGTCAGGCCAGGATCTTTCACAGGGTCTGCAGTGGTCTTATACCAGAGACAATACATCAAGGCTAAGCTCAGGAGCAGAGCCTAGGTTGAGAGCAGGGAATCAAGATGAATTGCGGCAGGAGGAAGGACGGGGAAGGGGATCTAAGGCAAAAGCACACCAGAGGTCTGCATTGTTTAGACAACTCCCAGAAGTGGCTTCCTCGTTTATATGGGGAGTGTCAGCCAGTCAAGGAGAACTGTTACTCATGCCTCTTGGAGGAGAATTTCCAGAAGGGCTTAGCCTTGCAGTTCTGCTTCACAGCAACCCTACCTGGGCCCCTGGTGGTTATGAGGAAGCAGAAGCTGATGGAGATCCTCATTCTACACCTGTGGGTTCTTACCAGTAGCAATAATAAAAGGGGCCAGTTCTTCCAGTTCCCACTGACTTCAGTGAGTGTTTTTGTTCAGGAAACCCTATAAGTTTTATTCCATAAAGTGACACATACAACACTGAAATAATACTTTAAACTTCTATTGCTTCTCTCACACAAAGACTCCAGAGCATTTTGCAAGGACTAGGAAGTATTACTGTTTTACACCTTACAGCTGGGATAACTGAGTCACAGACTTGTTCAAAGTAATACAGGAAATCAGTACCAGAGCCAGGAATAGAACCCAGTTCTCTTGACATGAAGTCACCAGCTTAATTACAGGAATGTGTTGTTATGCAAGTCCCATTAGCCCCAAAATTGCCCATAATCACACTAACACTTCCTATATTAAGACACACAGAAAAGTCTCTTACTTGTTATTTTCATTTTGTGCTAGACAAAAACATAGTTTTAAACGTACAAAAATAACCCCACCTAACAAAAAAACCCTTACTTTAGCAATAAACAAAACAAAAACTTGACTTAATATTTTGCCTCTCATAAATCTCAGCAACCTGAACTATCTCTGCTATCACCAGTGCTGTGATTTAATTTTAGCTTGAGTTGTCATCCTTCCCTCCCCAATCACAATCTGTATTAAAACATCTATGCAGCAATGAATAGGTCTTTTATCACATACATGGGAGTGCTTCTGTAATCCCACCCACACAGCGGATAAGCACTTGAGCAGCAAGTCTGCTTAGGAACACAGGCCCACCTTTTCCAGGGCTCTGGCTTGCCAGACGAAAAAAGGTGCATTTTCCATTTCTGTTACTTCAAATGAATTAGTTTAACACACATGAGAAGTCCCATAAAGATGCAGGCTAACATGTCAGAAGCCATATCAACTGGATTATAAGCTTAGTCTCCTCACTGGGTCACATAGCAGCAAGCTAATGTGTTCACTACACCTTTCATGGTGTGTTTTAATTGTGTTAAATCAACTGAATTAACATGGATTGAAAAATACACTCTGCCCGACTCAAGCTCTTATGTGTGTGCAGTACCTGACTTATTCTTGCAACTGTCTGCCAGAGTTGTAAGAGTTATTGACTATGTTTGGGCATACACACACACACACACACACACACACACACACACACACACACACACACACACACACACACACACACACACACACACACACACAGCGACAGAACTAGTCATGCACTGGGACTTAGTATGGGCATGTGCAAGAGAGGAATGCAGGTCCAAAAATCAGAGCCACAAAGCGCACATTAAAAAGCCCCACAGAAACTGAAATACGTTTGAATAAATCATGTTTACCTAATCAACTTTCACAACTACCATGCTGAGCACTAGATATGTAGAGATTTTATTATCCCTCCCACACAATAACAGCTGTCAACTTTGTTATTGTAATTTACCCTGTTCTTGCACATGACTTGCAATTCGATTTTAGATACATGCTCAAGCAAGATGCATTTCACTCGGACATCATCATGATGCAGCACTTGTACCCAAAGGAATACCTTAGTTCAAAGAGCAATATACATACCATCTCCTTTCTGCCTTCATCCTTTTCTTGAAGTTTCAGATGAGCAGACACCTGTTACATAAACACACAATATGATGCAAGTTAAACTGAAAATGATCAGCAACATGACATTTTGGGAACAGCCACTATAAGACTCAGGGCAGGTCTGCATTTAAAATACTGCACCACAATGCAGTTGTGCTGTTGCAAAAGAAGAGCTTCTCTAGTTGGAGTAATTAATCCACCTCCATGAGAGGAAGTAGTTATGGCAATAGGAGAAGCTCTCCCGCTGTCTTAGCATTGTCTACACCAGGCGCTAGGTCAGTATAACTACATTGCTCAGTTATACTGATTTAAGTCTCTAGCATTGACCTGGCCTAAAACACACAAAGACACTACCAAAGACAGTTACCTCTTTTGTAACTGATGTTCTTTGAGATGTGTGGCTTGTGTCCTTTCCATATTAGGAGTGTGTGCTCGCCACATGCACCAATACCAGAAGTTTTTCCCCTCAGGAATATTCATAGGGGAGTGACTCTGGCAAGCCCTGGAGTGGTGCTTTTATGGCACGGTATAAGGACTGTCACGTTCACCCACCACCCTCAGTTATTTCTTACCAGAAAACTCCAACAGTGCGGTAAGAAGACAGGTCGTGGAATGGACACGAGCAACACATCTTGAGGAACATCAGCTACAAAACAGGTAACTGTCTTTTCTTCATCGAGTGCTCGCTCGTGTCCATTCCACAATAGGCGACTCCAAACAGTACCCATGGAGGCGGGGAGGGGTTCCCTCTGGCCTGCTGAGCGATGACGTAGTCAGATGTAAACGTGCAGACCGAGGAGCATGGTGTGGCTCTACAGATCTCCTGAACTGGGATGTGTGTCAGGAAGTGTCAAGGATGAGAGGGCTTGCCAGGGGACATCAGTGACCTTTAGAACCCCTTCATGTAATGGCAGCGCAACTAAGGCAGAGGCGCTGAGCATGTCAAAGAGGGTATCCACTGGCTCCTTGAGATCCTATGCCGGTAGCTGTAGGCTAGAAGCAACCCTCTTGAGGAGCTCCTGGGAGGGGTGTCCTTTCCCCTAGAGCTTGCACCTGCTTAGAGGGCTGGACACCATGGCTGAAGGTCTTTTAGACACCTCTGAAACCGATTGGGCAGCCTGGGATGGTTGGTTAAACCCAGCTTGGGTTCCACAAGTACCAGGTCACTGTCCCTGCAGCCATGCTAGGGGGATGCGGTGCTGCAGGCTGGGATGGCACCATGGGACTCTGTGCCTGGCCCAGCAGCAGGGACTCATGCTCTGTCCTAGCTTGCAAAGTCATGTGTGCACTGGCCGGCAACCAGGAATGGGAGGGCCCGTGACTTCCTTTGGCATAGCTGTAAGTCCTGTGGGCCCATTAGGTTCTCTCTGAACATGAGGCACCTCTGTCATGGGACCACAAAGCTGGTTGGGAAAAGGCGTGTCAGTAACAGGAACGCAGCGATCTAGATCTCACATCATCCACTCGCGCCAGGACCTTGAATAGGCCTCAGAGCTTGAGCAAGACCGTTGGTCTGATGAATGCTGAGACCGCAAGAACTGCCATGAAAGGGACCTGTGCCAACGAGAAGATGACCAATTATCTCATTCTCTGGAAAAGCCCCAGGAGTGGTGCCAAGGTCTTGGAGATACCAATGGCTTGCCTCTGTGCCCTTGCTGGAGGCTGCATGCCTGAGCAGGCCTGCACCACTGTACTGATGACCAGGGCAGAGTTTTGGGAGGGTGGGGGGCAGAAGCCGTGAGTGCTGGGACATGGCTTGCTTTTCTTTCCGTTCCCCAGGCTATCAGGGAGTGATGAGAAAGTACTTGCATTCCATGCATGCCTCTCACACCATGGAGGTGCCACTCCAGGGGTCGCCAGAGCCATGACCCTGTGAGTATTGTTGAGGGAAAAACTTCTGGCATCAGTGCATGTGGCAGGCACACACACCTAATGTGAAATGGACATGAGCAGTCTCTCAAAGAACTGAACAATTTATTCTAACATGAGGCAGAATTTAGAAAACAGACGCTTAGTAAGTGCAGTGTTAGTTATGAAGTTCTAATCATGAGTAAAGTGTAGGCATATACATGCTGTCTAAGGGACCACTCGATACCAACAAAACTCAGTGATCACTAGAGATGTTCAATCATATCAGAGAGAAAGGATAGTCTAGCTGACAATAAAACGGAGTGGGATTTAGGAAGTTCAATTTCTAGCTTAGCCACACACTTCCTGTGTGACACTAGATAAGTCAGACATGTTTTGTTATGTCTTTAAGGTGCTGCTAGACTATTCATTGTTTTTTAAGTTTCTCTCTGCTTTGGTTCCCCATCTGTAAAGTCATGATACCAATTCTCCTTTATCTCTTGGAAATGTTATAGATAAATTCATTAGTGATTGTAAGGTGCTCAGATAGAGGCCATCAGCTGTCCTAAGAGGTAACAATTAAACTGTTAAATAATTAATTTTTTGACAATACCTTGAGAGGTTAATTTAGACAAAGTCTATGATCTTGGTCCAACTTACCAAAGAGGCTCTTAATGCAGCTGTAATTTAGCCAGATACTTGGAAAAAAATATTACCCTATTGGTCTTTGATTTCTATGTACTGCTCAAATAAAATGAAACAGGAATGCTCTCTCACAGAGTAGACCTCTTCCAGAAATCTGTTATAAAAATTACAACTCTGAAAAGTAAACAGATAAAGCATAGGCAAGTCTAGGTGATCATCATGGTTCCTTGTGGTCTTAAAGGATTGATTAAAGCCACTTTTCCTTTACCAAATGATAACATCCATGAATTTGATCTGAGGAAGTGGGTCTGGCCCATGAAAGCTCATCACCTTATAAACCATCTTGTTAGTCTTTAAAGTGCTGCATAGTCCTGTCTTTTGTTTCAGCAAGACCAGACTAACACGGCTACATCTCTATTACTATCCATGAATTAGTGACTCTCTACATTGAGGGTTGGGCAGGTATGACAAAACTATTGAGAGGATTGTCTCAACACATGGAACAGCAGCAGGTTCCAGACAACAGCTCTCAATAAACGGGCCCTATGTCAAGAGTGAAGAGGATTTTAATCAACTTTAAGGTCTGGGCTTCTTCACATGGAACCCACATCAAGATAGAAGGAAAAAGGCTATATATGAGGGCTCCTGGACCCAAGACAGGGTGGCAGCCGGGAGCCCTGGCATACAGCAGCAATCTGCCAGTATGGAAACAGCTGGTTAGATCATGGAAAACTGACAAGGAGATTAAACTAGTCACTTGCCCATAGGGCCAGGAAAGAGATTCACCCAGGGCTCTCACAGAGACTCGCTTGGTCTGGAAAAGCTAGCCGTAACCCACATTTCCGGTTCCAGTCGTTAGCACGGGGTGGGCAATAATTTTGATGGGGGGGGGCTACTCCAAGATTTTGGAAAGTGGTCAAGGGCTGCACTCTTACATGATATTAATGGAGGCTGCACAGAGTCTGGGATGGAGGCTGAGTGTGAAAGGGAGCTTGGGGTAAAGATTGGGATTCAGGAGGGTGTGCGCGGTCTGGGAGGGAATTTGGGTGAAGGAGGCAGTTATGGCATGGGACTGGAATACAGGAGGGGGTGAAGGGGTTTGGGTTGTGACCTAAGGCAGGAGGGGATTGTGATCTAGGGCAGAGGACGGGGACACAGGAGGGGGTGCAGGGGTTTGGGTTGTGACCTAGAGGAGTAGATTGGGGTGCAGGATCTGGGAGGGCATATGAGTTCAGGAGAGGAACAGAGGGTTTGGGTTATGTGGAGTAGGGGGCAGAGTGTTGGAGGGGAGGCGGGCTCTGACCAGGTGGTTTACCTAGGTGACTCCCGGCCAGCAGCCCAACATGTTTGGGGCCATGTGTGTCTGTGAATACGAGTCAAAGGGGAGGGGAGAGTGGTACTTTGTACGCTGCCTGTTCTTCAGACAGGAAGCTCCCATTGGCCAGAAACGGACTAATGGAATTGTGCTAGGGGCAGGAATAGCACATGAAGCCTCTTCCCTACCCCAGCTGTGAAACATAAATGGCCAAACAGCCGCTTTTCTGAGTAGTGTGCAGGAGGGGGTGGGGCAAGCAGGGAATCAGCCTGAGGCTCCCTGCTGCATCTGCAGGCCGGATCTGGTGGCTTGGCAGACCGGGTCTGGTCCACCGACTGTGTTTTGCCCAGGCCTGCTTTAGCAGCTACTGGAATACAGAACAAGTAATAGGACACTGGGAGGACTCATGAGTGAGAAAGTGGCCACAATCTAGTTGCCCTTCTCTGGAACCAACCTCTGGAACCAACCTATTGCCAATACTATCCAGATGCTAGGTTTTCATGGTATTTTATTTCTCTGAGGAGCAAATAAACACAGGCTCACGAATTTTCTTCTGAATCCTAATTGTGACCTTAAAACAGCAACAAAGCCATGGGGACTCAATTGAATTCCAGTCTAACACCTGGAACCAGAGCCAGGAGTAAAAATGTGTACTCATGGAAAAAGAGAGCCTCTCTGTAGTCCCAGGCCCCAAACCAGCCAGAACCAGAAACAAAGTTCACCATCATAGCTTCTTGGACAGTAAGATGAGGGAGCAGCATGTCGTCCTGCATGATGTAACAGGACACTTTGCGAAAAGAGCGTAGGTCACGAGGCTGCCCGTTAATGAGGATTACTCCTTTCATCCCAGTCTCTCTGAAATGAAACAAAACAAGTGAGTTAGAGAGAGAGTAACCTTTATACTATTTTACTACACATCTCAGGCCAGGTCTATACTAGACCCAGAAGGTTGGCTTAAGGTACGCCATTCTATATGTAAATAACATAGCTGGAGTCAACCTACCTTAAGGCAAACTTGGCACCATCTTCACAGCGGGTGATCAATGGGAGCAAACGCTCCCATCGACCTCCCTTACTCCTCGAGAATCGAGGCATACCAACATAGACTGGTGGTGCCATCAGCCTTTGATTTAGTGGGTCTTTACTAGGGCCACTAAATTGAATGCCAGAAGATCAATCTACAGCGTGGCAAGTGCAGACGTGGCCTTAGAGACTAGGCACATTGGGCTTTTTTAGCCTCTTTTTAGGTGATTTCTCAGACCAAAATAGACAGATGAAGGGAAGTGCACATGTCCTGTGTGTATTGTTTCAGGAGAAATTTCACACCCTGGCAAAACAATTAATTCAAACTTATGCAAAAAACGTGCTGCCAACAGGGATGTTTTCAGAAATGGTCTGTCATTTCTTGAAAGGCTGTTTGTGGGGTGTCTCTGCCCCTCCTTTTGTGATTTGGTGACAGTAGCAGAAAGCAACTATGTCAAGCAATGGGGCAGAGGTGGGAAAACTTCCCAGTTGTTTCACATATTGTAGTTTAATCAAAAATTATTCTTACATCCTGAACATTTTGATGGAAAAATATTGTGTTTATAAAACCTAACTTAATACTCCACAGATAAAACCTTCAGCCAAATTTGTCCGATGGCTTGTGAACAGCCATTTCTCATTTTTTTGGAATTATAAGGACTCAACTGCTTTCCTACATATTAGTCTGCTGTATAGAATATAGGAATGTAACAGTGGTGATAGCATAATTCAATATTTGTGAAGCACTTATTTTCTACAATGACTGACTGGGTGAGCTGAGTGTCTGTCAGTGAGTTGGAATGCCCTCCCTCTGATCTAGAGACTGAAGGACCACCACACTCCCTCTGGTTGGTGGACCTGAATTTGCCCCATCCTCAAATGTCCTGAGGTGAGACAAAGTATAAAAGGAGAGCTCTGAAGCAGAGTTGGGGCTGTACCACCAGAGGGAGCAGACATCTCTTTCAGGGAGCCCAGAGCAACACCAGAGCCTAAGCTAAGCACTAAAAAGAACTGCCCCATGCAGTAAACAGACAGAACCTAAGGAGCTGCTGGGATTGCTGCCAGATGAATGCCCCGAAAACCTGTGGGAACTACAAGCTGCCAAGTACCCTGAGGAGACAAAAGACCTTTGGAGTAGAGTCCTACACCCAGACAGTGGCAGAAAGTACTCCAACACTTACAAAGAGAGAATCAATATGTTTTGGTAGGATCTCTGCGGAGCCGGTGGTGGAACCATACACCGCTCTTAGGGATCCTGGGTTGGGACCCAGTTGAGTAGGGTCGGCTAACATCGCTCTTCCCCTAGAGTGCTGACCTACTTCCCCTTGGTTGGAAGGAAGGCCTTTGCCAGACTTTGACTAGCCCCAGCCACAAGGCTGAGAGGCTCCAGGTTGTGTTTGCTGTCTGCTCCAGCCTGGAGGCTGTAGATAAAGATGTTCTGACCTGCTCAGAGGATCACAATGTCCACATAGACTATTGGTTACGGTGTGTCTAGAGTGAATCAGAGAGGTCCCCCCCCCCCGCCCCCGTCACCCACTTGAGAGCAAGCGACCATTACAGAGTCCTTCTGCTTTTTCAGAAGAGGACAGACACGATTATCACAGTGATCCTTTATACTCACCTGTATCCTGCCAAGATATTCATGAGCGTTGATTTCCCAGCCCCAGAAGGACCCATAATTGCAACAAGTTCGCCACTGCTGAACTTCCCTGAAATTCCTTTCAAAAGGGTCTTGTAACCTGAAGGAAGAAAGAAAATATTATGAAATGGTGACGCTTCAGTCATTTACTGAACGTGAAATATGCTTCTCCTATGCAGGGGTAATAAGGATGGCTGCTAGTGAGCCCAATGCAGGAGGTTCAGAGGAAAGTGGCAGTACATAGCACACCAGAGCCACTATCACAACCTACGAACTGCACTGGAGCTTGTGGCCTTTTCCCACTTGGTGAGTAGTGATGATGAAGTGACACTGATCCATTTAGAAATGGTTCTGCTTTTGATCCACTCCACGAAAAACGTTCTCAAGCCAGCTAGGAGCCCAACTGCCATTTTCCAAAGATTCTGTGCTCACGTGGGGATCTATTCCAAAATAGCTGTTAGGGATGTAAAATCTCGTTAAAATTAGTTAACTGGTTAAATGTTAAGCTTAACTGATTAAATGGGGTCAGGCGGGGGGAGAGGCATTACAGCCTGTTGGACTGGAGTGGTCCTCCAACCCATCATGGCTACACTGGAGTACACTGATCTTGGTCACAAGCATCAAGAAAAAGGGTGTGAGCTCTTCACCTAATTCCTGTGTCCTTGTTATTGTTTCATGGCTAAGGTAGTCAGTTTTTTATCACAACACCCTGTGATATAGCATGCTCTGTGCTTTATGAAAATATGCTTCTGATATGAATGTCATAACTGAGGTATGCTTTGTGCAAGATGGTTCATGTACCATATCATAGAAAATGTTATGATTTACTGAATATAATTATCCTGTTTCTATGCATGCATCACTTCTGTTTCTGGTATTAGGAGTGTGGGTTTTAGATTTATATTACCAATGCATTCATGCTGGGTGAAGCCAACTACCTGGCCTTTTGGTACAAAGGAGAAAAAGCCCAACAGCAAAAGACAATGAACTGTAAAAGAACTTAACCTTCTGTGAATGTGAGTCAGCTTGTGAAGAATGGCTACAGGGACCCTACAGAGTCATGTGACCATCCTGGAAGCCATCTTCAATTCTGTACTTTTCCATGAGAAGCTGGGGGTGGAGGGTGGAGGGAAGGAGGAAAATCAAACTAGGAAACAAAGGACGCTTGCTTTATGCAAATCCTATTTAAGGGTGAGGAGTGAGGTAATGCAGATTGTCAGTTCTCCATAGCTATCCCATCCAAGATGACTGTGAGACACAGCTAAGACTGAACTGGAGGAAGGAGCTGGGCCCAGCCTGGAAAGGTATCTGGTCTGTGAAGATTATTAGAACCACATTTAGGGTGAGATCTTACATGTAACTAGTTTCTTTAGCATATCTAGCTTGGATTTGTATTATTTTCTTAGCAGTCAGCTGTGCTCTGCCTGCTGCCTCTTTGACCACTTAAAATCCCACTTTTCATAGTTAATTAATTTATATTTGGTGTATGGTATTACTCAGATTATGTAATTTCTAACAGGGGGAGGGGAGATAAGATGTGTATACCTTCCTTCACATTAAGGAAGGGAGTGAACATCATACAAATTTGGGTTTGTACCCCCAAAAGGAGGGTGAATATCTGGGTGCTGTAGTAAATCCCTTAAGATGAGTTATCACTCGAAATTACTGCTCATTACATGTAAATGTGATACCCTTATAGTGGGTGAAAATCTGGCCTCACTGGAGTCAATGAAGATAATTTTATCATTACCTTCAATGAATGCAGGATTTCACTCATTATGTAGCACTTTACTCCCACAACTGGCCCCAGTAGTAGATTAGTTTAAAATGTTATTGACTGTGAGGATAGCCAATAACGATGCTCATGTGATAACACAGAAAATATCGCTGTAACAATCTGGTACACCAATGTCTAGTGTATGAGACTGTTGTGATAGAGTAGATTTTTACTGTATAGGATAGTTTATCCTTATTGGAAGGATTTCATAATACGCACCTCACCATAAGCCCTAAGTATAGTGCAATAAATACTGCATATGCTTTGTAACTATTTTATACCATACCATATAAAACTCTGCTTGGTATAAATACTTCAGGAGATATAATGCAAAATATACTTTCATAGCCTAAACATTTTCATCCAAATTATTCATCCATTGACTAAACATTTCTTTACTAGTAATTACAGTAGCTTAACTAAAACAGGTTGCAATATATTTCCACTACTCATCCAACTAATGACTAAAAAATAAAGTAGGCTTGTTTAAACTGCATTTTTCTTTTAAAAATTTCTTTGTAAACCTATAAATCAAGATTCAGCCAGAAGTGTATTTTATAACTTGAGTTTTTCCACTATAAAAACTCTTCTAAATGGAAATTACAAACCTGGTTCCATTATAGAGGTATGAGGTGCAACCGTACAACGAGTCATTGCTCAGTCCATTAAACTGCAGAAAAACAAGGAATGGCCCTGTTTTCTATTAGACTTAGAAATTCAGAATCAGCACTATTATATTTGGCAGGATACACTTCAAGCATCTTAGATATTGTACTTAGACTAGAGTAGACTAAATGTCCCAAAATCATGCTCACAGCATAGTACAAGAGTAAGAGAATGATTTTAAAGGGGAAAAAAACCCATAATGAGTTTTAGATCAGGATTGCATTAATTAGCATTTCAGACCACTAAGTCCCAACATATACAATACCATACCTTATTCTCAGCAGGAGTGGGTGAGAGGTCTTTCTACTTACAAAGGTTAATTCTACCAAATCTAAGAGAGGAGATTTTACCCTGTAGTGGTAACATTGTGCCAGGCATAATCTTGTATCAGGAATTAAAAACATTCTGGGCTGTAAGTACCTAGAGACTTCTGTTACAGAATATTGAGGCTAATCTTCCACAGAATCAGTTGACCTATAAATTCTATACTGAAGTCTTTCATGAGGAATGGATTATATGCGTGAAAATAGTTGTAGTTCTCAAATACAGGGCCTGCTTTTCAGTGATATATCTACCGTGTATAGGAAAATGTATCTTCCTTATTTCCAATTAACTTTGGCCAGATTGTTCCATTTATACAGTGATTTGTGTTGAGGAAGCGCTGCCTTAGAGGAAGTTCAAGGAGGGTTTGTGCCTCAGAGAGGCACAATCCAACTCTTAGAGTTGCCCACTGGGTGTAAGGATGATCAATCCTGAGTAGGTAAATCTCCGCTGAATTCAGTGAAATCATATAAAGGTTCACTGTTCCCTAGACTATAAATACTTCCATCAAAATCATTTTATTTTTTTTAAACAGAAAAATGGCCAGAATTCTTAAAGGACCTGAACTCCTCCAACATTTCTCAGGAGGCTCTCAGTCCTTTGAAGAATCAGACCTGTATCTGAAATACCCTTTTTGCGGGGGGAGGGGAGGAGACTGGATCTTAAACTGGATAATCGTTTCATACCACAGGTTGTACCTCCTTTCTCTGGCACCCAGAGGACCTGATTGGTCCCAAACAAGGGGATTTGCCAAACAAGGGGAGGTCCCTCCCATCATGACCCATACTGCCCCTGGCTAGGACACTGAGCCCTGCTGCTGCCTGCCCAGCTATGGCTCCCCAGGCTGGAGCTACATGGCTGCTGGGGCTGTGGGTTTGCCAGGGCCCCATGGCTGCCGCAGCTTCCGAGACTACCGGGACTCTGTGCCTGCTGGGACTCTGCAGCCACTGCCGACCCCCCCGCTACCACCTGTCAGCAGGAGCCAGAGCTCCCTGCTGTGCCCCCCTCCCTTGACAGGCGGCTCCTGGCTGAGTCATACCACTCCTCCCCCCACACACTCCTGCTCTGCGGCCCAACCTCCTTGTACCTGGACTCTGTAGTCCAGGAACTTCCGCAGTCCTGCCGGACCATGGATGTTGCCAGATCACCGAGTTCTAGTTAAGGGAAGTACAACCTGTATTGTCACCAGCAGAGCTAGTCAATTTCCTATGGAACATTCCTCCACCATAAAATGAGAACTCGTCAATATCAAAATGTGTTTCAATAAGGTTGTTCAAATTAATTTTTATTTTGATGTTTTTATTTTATATTCCAAATTTTAAATTTTATCTGCATCTTATCTTAAGATACTTTTATATTTTATCTTCATAATATACCAATTGCTACAATTACAGAGTACCAAATCAATTACAAGTTATAATATCCATTCTAATTTCAATAGTGATTACCAATGACTAGTTGAATACCAATGCCCCGTAACTAACTTCTAAATACCATTAGACTATCAACTGCAATACCAATAAGCTATTACCAAAGTAACTGTTAATTAGAACAACAATGAAAAATGATCACTTTGAATAACAACCAATTATTTTATATTATATTTTATCTTTAAAATAATTGAAACCCAGTTTAAAAGTATGCAATAAAATATAAAGGTAAATCAAATAAAAACTATAAAAATAAATAGAACACAAATCATACGAACATAAACTATCAAAAGTCAAAATTTAAAATCAATGTTCTGATTTTATCTAAATTGTTTTAACTTACATTAAATCCTCCCACCCACCCCTGCCAAAACTCAGGTTTTCCTGCAGAAGGAAGATTCCACATTGTGACCAATTCTAGATAAGAGGATGTAGGCACAGAATAGGTCCACAGTTTGGGACACAGAATTGCCCAGCAAAGGAGTCCAATAAACAAGCAAATTTCTCTGAACCTAGGACAAGTATTACTAACCTTGTATTCCATGTATAAACAATTAACTCTCATCAACTGAGTTAGAAAGATTTCCATACATATTAAAGATGATAAGAGGGGTATAAGAGAAGAATTCTCTCTTTGCTGGAGTCCAAGGCTTCATTGCAGGACTCAGCAGCCAAGTGGCTTGCAGGAGATTACATCTGCTTTCTCTGCTGAGGAATATAAGGGTTTCTGGGGAAACTGAGATGTTTCATTTTTTCCAAAATTAGAATGCTCTCAAGGAGTATTACGCTTAACTTTAAAGTGAACAAGACTACTCAAGCGCTTAAAGTTATGCACATGCTTAAGTGAGCTGCGGAACTGGGGTCAAAATCATCATTAGCACTACTGCTGCTCCAATAGATTCACTG